TGGTTGAATGGATAAACAGATTGCTAAGAGTCAGAGGTGTTGCTGGTTCGATTCCCAGCATGGAGAAGTGTCTTCAGTGAGAGATGGTGCAATATGATGTCAATGTGAAACTTCAGCAAATAAGAAAGATGTGAATGGTAACAAAAACTACCAGTACTTTTTGTATTCAGTGTATTTATGAGGATGCACTAAATGAAAGTGCAGTGCCGCTCACATCCTCATACTAACATGTCCAAATTGCACATCTTGACACTAAATATAGTGTATATGCCGTCAATAGATGTGCAATATATACCTGGCTCGAAGGATAGATAGATATACTTGATTTATCCTAATTTGGGAAAATATTTTGTTGCAGAAGCATTATCCTCAACATTAAAATACTTAAAAAGTTAAATAGAGAATTACAATTAATAATGTAATGAAAATGAAAAATAGTATATCAAATAAAAACAATATAAGCAATATAAAATGTTCTGGATAATAAAAATGTTCTTAAAAAAGTCGAAAATACTACAGGAGCATAGACATACTGTACATACTGCAGTGTGTCAGTCAGTAGGGGCTTGGACTGTGAGCCGTAGTGTCGCCGGTTCAAGTCCCCGACCAGACCTAAAATATAGAGTGTGGACTGCTACTTGGAGAGGTCCCAGTTCACCTGAGCAAGGCACCGGATGCATGTGTGACCATTAAAGAGGGTTTCATCTTATTATACATCCATGGTTTCATCCCTCCCAATTCTTCTTCTTCTTCTTCATGCATATAGGATGGTATATAATATATAATATACTACTATATCTCTCAGGGTGTGTATTTTGTAAGTTGTGTACTTTTATTAAATCTTAAATATCTTTTATGCATGCTTCTTGGTTAATATTAAGCTGTCTTTTAGGCTCTTTTCTTGCTGTAACAAATTCAGAATTCTGAATACAGCAGGTGGCAGTAATGCACTTTTAACGCCGGTGACCACGCGCCATTAAACAAACAGAAGAAGAAGAAGAATGACGTCACAGGAGAGGTGAAAAACATGGCTGCCCTCGACGAGTCGAGACGTTTTTCTTAATTTGAAGTGTTTAATATCCACTTCTGAACGGTAAGTGTCATATTATTGCATGACAGCGAGTTTTAATATACTTAATACGCCTATACATGTTGTGTTGAGGTCACTGATACGTAAAACAAGGCCATATTCACAACGTAAAAAAGTGAAAAGTGATCCATGCTGGCTCCACCACGTTTGTTTTCCTGAGGTATTAAACCACATTTTTCTCTCTCAGTATATAAGTGTATTTACTCAGTTTTATTAAGCTGCGAAATCACATTTTTAAATGTAATATTTTGATAAAGCAGCATGGTTTAATAGTAATGTGTTTTAGGGACGTTTTGATGCACGTCTGAAGTCAGAATAGGCACACGTTATTAATAAACACACGATAACAGATACCATGGTAAAACACAACTAAGTAGCAGTACAGTGTTAAAAACAAGGACCATATAAACATAGAAGTAGCTGGTACTGTTAACAGAGTAAAATCATTGCAATACAACAACAAATATGTTTTAAATAATGTTATTAAAGGAGTGTCATTATGGTCTCCTGATCAATCTTATGGATAGTATGGATGCAATTTTGACCTTAATCTTAAGTGGGTTTTTTTCTGTGGTTTTTAGTATTTATTGCTAATTAACTATTTTATTAAAGGTGTGGTATGTCATTCACTTCAGAATACACTTTTTGTTATTTTCCATGGAATGCTCTTAACATCCCGATAGCAATGAATATATTAAATGCTTTGACAATAAATACATAGAAATATGTCATCTGTGGAAGCCTGTAGCGCTGTAAAAAGCACGACCAATCATCTGAGCCGGCTAAAGTAACTGGATGGCCTACCTGCCTGTCAGCCTTCCATCTGTGCACAAACTTATCTGGTGCCCTCATTGGTCATGTGCGCGTTCGTGTGTGTTGGAGGAGGGACTCTGTGAGGAAGTCTGAAGGAAGAACGACGCTGAAGTTGGCTTCCGATTCAGAGCATCCGATTCGGCAGTTAAGGGACATTTAATTTACAGCACTGAGCGAACAATCCTCCGTGTTTGAACCTCTTAAATCGCTGCATAGCCGATTTATTTGGACTGGATCATCCCAGAGAGTCCAAAGATTCTTTATAACACAGTTTCAGATTTGTGAAACCTTTATTCTATTTGTGAAAATACAAAAAGGGAGATTTTGCTGCTTTTTTTTACATGTAGACCACATTAGACCAGGTCCTGATCTAAAACCACTATACCTACGCTCATCAAATCTGGACTGATACAAGAAGGCATAAAGGCTTGCCCAGCTGGGAGGTTCACTCTCTGATCCTGATCCTGGCCTGCTGCAGCAACCTCAGCCTTCCACCTGTGTTTGTATTTTCACAAATAGAATAAAGGTTTCACAAATCTGAAACTGTGTTATAAAGAATCTTTAGCCTCTGTGGGTCCAAATAAATCGGCTATGCAGCGATTTAAGAGGTTCAAACGTTCAAACAGAGAATTGTTCGCTCAGTGCTGTAAATGAAATGTCCCTTAACTTTCCCCTTAACTGCCGAATCGGATGCTCTAAATCGGAAGCCAACTTCAGCGTCGTGAAGGAAGAGGCAGATTTTTTTCAGCTGCGTACTTTCAAGTTCTAGCGCCCTCGAGCTGGTTTCTCCATTCTTACCTCCCTACCTTTAATACCATGTTATGGATTTGACCTGTGAGAACAAGTGAGTTGTATTCAGTTAATGAGTTAAGATGGGTTAATGTTTCAACAGATCATGCTTACCATGGACAAAGTAGAGAACATTGTGCCATCTGCTGAGGAGGAGATGGAGGAAGAAGGAGACAAGGAGGAAGAAAAGGTAGATCAGGAAGAAGGTAAACAAGAAGATCATGGACTACAGGAAAGTGGAGTTGAAAAGGAAACGAAAGAAGAAGCAGTGCCGCCGGCTGCAGCTCAAACCAAAACGGCTAAAAAGAAGAAAAAGAATCCCTTTCCTGTGAAAACCAAAGAGAAAAGGCCGGACGAAGGCCTGAACCTCAACAACGAGGTGGTGAGGATGAGGAAGGAGGTGAAGAGGGTGAGAGCGCTGATCTTCAGGAAGATGACGCGACAGGTTGCCGCCCTGAAGAAGATGAAAGGGACGGAGATGGAGATCGAGAAAAACCAGAGGAGAGCTGCCAGACTGCTGGAGGAGGTCCACGCCATGAAGGGCCTCTCCCCTGACGTGGTAATAATAATAATACTACAGTGTTTCCCCCAGGTTTACTGCTTTGGGGGGGGGGGCATTGGGATATATATTTCTAAATCCTCTGGAGCAGAGAGAGGAGCTGTGGATTATTGTTATTGATTAATGCATCAGTATTTCTTAGGGTCAAAAACACTAAACTCACAATTTAAAATGAAAGCGTTTCGTTTATTTAATAAAAGAGCTCATGTTCAATGTGAAAAGTGACAGTAGATATAGATTAGTTGCAATTTGGTGCTATATATATATATATATATATATGTATATATATATTTATTTATTTATTACATGGCTTAATTGAATACTCGATTCTGATTGGTCAATTCAGAACACGTGACACGTTGTTAATACCGAACAGATAGACCGCTGTCAAGGACTTATTGACCGTTGTTAAGGACGCTCACATCTTCAGAAAGAAGTCCGGTCGATTTAACTGCATACCGTTGGGCCGAAAAGCAAACTGCATGCAGTTTGCTTTTCGGACTGGGACATGAAAAACAGCGCAGAATTAACGGGGCAGAAACCCTCCTTTTTACGCAGCGGTCCAGACATAGACATCAAACGGCGACACATATTCAGTGTGCAGTTACTTTGTCATTAGGGCAGGGATATCTAGATACTTTCCAAGGTTTGACATCATGAATTGTGCTACTTTTAAAGCAAGGAGCGATGTTTTCAAATCTGTAATCAAAAAGCTCCTCAAAAACACTATGGAAGCAGTTCCTGCCGTTGCTACGTTAGTTCAAACAGTAACAACGGACTATTTTTCTTAGTGGATGCATGTCAATTTAAATCAATACAACTATTTTTTAAATCAATAAAATAATTTTCTAAATCCATAAAAGCATTTAAATTAATATTGGGATTCATAACGTTACTTTGTTGAGAATGTGGCCATGTAATAAGCGGGATGATGTGCAGCAACTTGGTCAATATGGGGAAAAGAACACCTTCATGCCGATCTAGATCCCTCCGCTTCGCGTCGGGCTCCTGATCAGCCTGCCGGTGTTCTTTTAAGCAATCATACACGAGAGGCCGTTCTTTAACGTCATTATTGGTACGACAGTACTGCGGCAGGACCGAGGCGCTTGCACCGAGGTCCGTACGCCTGTACTGGAGTACTATAACACAAGCTATCATTGTAATCGACAATATCGTAAAATAATTTCATAATGTGCTAATTTGCTCCCAAACCTTCACTTTCTGCTTGAGTTAATCTCCGTCAGAAAGTAGTTCCTATAAAGTAGTTCCCCTGGTAACGAGAGCCGATCAATCGAACACTCCTGCTTCCCCGCTTACAGTTATTGATATAATATATTATTAACCAATTTATTGAAAACAATTTATTGAAAACAATTTATTGAAAACAATTCTTGAATTAGGCTATTTATTTATTTATTTACATATTTAACATTTTGGCTTCAGAATGAAGGTGGATGTTCATGCTGCCATTACACGTGCAATCTTTGAAACAACTCATGAACTCCATGCCAGACTTGTTTGCAGTTGGTGCTGTGGTGTTCACGGAAGAGCTTTCCTCCAGTGGCCGTTTGGCGTGTCCCGGACCGGCAAAAAGCGCGTTGCTCCACATTTGTCTGTTGTCCAGATGATAACTATAAAATCTGACATTTTGTAGCTAACGATTTTCCAATGAGAGACAATGTAACGGCTGTGTGTCGCTATGGAAACCACTACTTCTCCGCTGCTTTCTTGTTCCAGTTTGCAGTTAGCTTTTGAATTGTGGTACTTTTCCAGTTGGTCTACCTGCTCTTCACGTAGCTCTGCATGTTGTCGTTTAGGTGCTTTTTTTTCTAGGCACTCCTCAATCCAGTCCTCCACAGTAAGACCCCCCCCCCCGGAGGTTGAAGTTAATCTTAAATGTTTCCATATTATGTTTGGAAGTTTGTTTCGTAACGTAAAAAGGAGGGTTTCTGCCCCGTTACTTCTCCGCTGCTTTCTTGTTCCAGTTCGGCCAAGGGTATACCGTTTTTCTCAGACGCGGAGGGATACTGACTTGTTGTGAAAAGGCACGTTCTATTTGACCGTTCTTTGATCGTGGAATCAAACACGCCTATTGACCAATCAGAGAGCTTGCTCACACCTATGTGTTATAGAATTCCCCATAATGACCGCGTTGCTGCACATTATCCCTTACATATATACATATATATATAAAAAAATTATTTGTCCTCCAAGACAATGGTAGGGGAAACACTGTAATAATAATTCATTCTATTTGCACCTTACAATTCATAAAATATTCTAAGGAAAGGTTTAAGACGGTACAAAAGGACCGTAACAGGGAACATGTAGGGAAACAATAACAGGAGTACTTCACCCTAAATATTACTCTTTGTATTTTTGAGTTACTATCCCAGTGTAACTTTAATACCTTAGAGCAGGGGGGGGTCAAACTCAACTTCATGGCGGGCCACATCAGCATTACGGTTGCACTCAAAGGGCCGGTTGTAACTTTAAGACTATACAAATATATATATATAAAATAACGTATTATACTACATTATTACCCAAAGCAGCAGCAGAAGAAGAAGTGACGTCAGCGGCTCCCTCAGGGACTTATTCCTGTGAACGCGATCTACTAGATAGTTCCAGGAAATAAAAGTTCCTGGGGAACGTACTTAATGGTGGACTATCGGACATTCAAAATGCAGGATATTTTCCCCCCAATTGTCCGTCTTGTCAAAATGCATCCCTGTCATTGGTTGTATTAGTTATCTAGGAATCTGCACACGTCACTCTATTACACAAGTAAAGTGTTAAGAGAGTGAAATGTTGCTTTACGATTTAAATTTCAGATACCTGAATTTAACTGAATTAGTTTAAAGAGAGGAAACATTTTGACTAAAATGTAATGACTTTTCATCGTCTAAAACTGGACTGAAACGTTTTTAGTTGTCGTCGACTAAAAGGACTAAAATGTGACTAAAACTAATAACTATTTTCTTCTAAAATCTAAAATAGCTGCCCAAATGAACACTGGGGTAATATGCAGTACTTTAATATGCAGTACTTTAATATGCAGTACTTTAATATGCAGTACAGATGTTGTTGTTAACATGTCTAATGTTTTCAAACTGTTTCCCAGGTGACCAAAACAGCTCTTCAGAAGAATCTGAACTTTGAATATGTGTGTAAAAACCCAAAGTCTGATATATCTGATCGGGCCACGGCGCGCATCGCTACTCATCCTCAGTTCAAGAAGAAGATCGAGACCATCAAAGCAGCTGTGAAAGCCTTCAAAGAAGAGCGGATGAAGGGAGGAAAGCAGGGAATTAAAGAAAAGCCGCAAAATAAACCTGTCAAGGTGACGCCTCAGACACCGGAGAAAAAGGTAGAGCGCAAGAGTGAGAAAGTAGAGGAGGATGTTGAAGTGGAGCGACAGGAAATCATAGAGGATAAGAAAGTCGAGGATATCGTTAAAAACACTGAAAAGGTAGCTGTTGTCGAGCCTGAGAAGGGAAGCGTGAAAGCAACTCCTTCAGCTGATGTGGAAATAAAGGAAATGCCCGAGTCTAAGATCGAAAAGGGAAGCGTGAAAGCAGCTGATGTGGAAATCAAAGAAATGCCCGAGTCTAAGATTGAAAAACCAGCCGCAATAAAAGTAAGTGAAGAAAAGGACAATGTGAAAAACACACCTAAAAGTAACGTTGGAGAGAAGAAACCGGAGACAAAGCCGGCACCTGATTCGCTCCAGGAAACAAAGAAGGAGGTGGAGAGCGATTTAGAGATTTCGGACGACGAGGAGAAAGAGTACTTTGACGACAGCACGGAGGAACGGTTCCACAAACAGTCCTCTCACTCGGAGGAAAGCGACGACGACGACGGCGGCTTCTTCGTCGGGAAAGTGAGCAAATGCAAGAGGAAGAGAAAGCAGAAGAGTGGAGATGGGGAGAAGTCACATAAGCAAAGTGAGGTGAAGAGTTCAGACCCAGTTCAAAATGAGCTGGATGAGCTCGAGACCAGGCTGAAGTCGAAAAAGAACTCGTTTCAGTCCGTTTTCTGTCCTTCCCTTTCTTCGTCTGGAGGAGGGAGAGGGAGAGGGAGAGGGGGGGATAGATTTATGAGTCGAGGGAATCCAAGAGGTGATGGAGGTCCAAATAGAGCTTTCAGGCGAGAGTCCAAGTTCCAAAATCAAGAGGAAGACGGAGGAGGAGAAAGAAATTCAGGCTCCAAATACAGTAAGCCGTCAGAGGGGGGATTCAGAGGGAGAGGGAGAGGGAGAGGAGACTTTACGAGGCAAAGTGACCGGAGAGGGAGAGGTGGATTTTCCCAGCAGCCACCAGAAGAGGCTTTGCATCCATCTTGGGAGGCGAGTAGGAGAAGGAAGGAGCAACAAGGACAGATCCTGGCCTTCCAGGGCAAGAAGATCAAGTTTGACGATTAGTTGGTGGAACATTTTGTTTATTAACGCTGAATACTTTTTGGTTTAGCGTCTGTCGTGCGTTATTCGGGATATCTGGTTCAGTGACAAATGTGTTGTGCCATGAATGTAATTATTTCTTAAACGGTAATAGAATTTGCGCTGAACGTGATTGATATAATAAAACATAACGTCAACAGTTGAAATAAAATGTCCTGACTGACATTGCTATAAAATGTTACTCATATATTTATGTAATCGTTTTGATGGATGCTTTGTTTTCTTAGATGTGAAGCATGCAAGTAAACAACATGTATAACACTGTTATGCAGGGCCGCCCCTCCCTACAGGCCGATCATGCAGACTGCGTGGGGGGCCTCACCTCGCGGAGGGGGCCTCGCCTCGCGGAGGGGGCCTCGCCTCGCGGAGGGGGCCTCGCGGAAGGGGCCTCGCGGAGGGGGCCTCGTCTCGCGGAGGGGGTCTCGCGGAAGGGGCCTCGTCTCGCGGAGGGGGCCTCGTCTCGCGGAGGGGGCCTCGCCTCGCGGAGGGGGCCTCGCCTGTGCCGAAAATGCGCCGCACCTATGCGCCGCAATCAGTGTGGCGTGGCACGGTTTCGCCGCTGCTCCACTAGCACCCCCCCCCCCCCCCCCTGGTGTTATGAGTTTACTATGAACGACTTGACGTCTCTTGTACATTTATTTTACATTATTGGCACAATTTCCACCTCAATATCAGTCGAGACATTTTAGTAAGTTATGTTTTATGTTATGTTTTATGTTTATTCCACTTTCAATCAGGTTAAGTGCATATTACATTTATAGGCTTTTAAACGGCTTTTTCCATCCTCAAAAGACAACAAACCTGGAGGTTATTTTTTTAAAACATACAGATTAAAGTATTTTTATTCCTAAAGATGATTAGATTCTTAACTGTGAAATGCTTTACCATATATTAGATGTAATGGTCAACAGTTTGAGGAACAATTAATGTGTAAGAATACTTGAGTTAGAAATGTAATGGTAGGGCTTTTGGAAATATTGTTGTTTCTTTAATTTATAAACCGGTTATCCATTTCACTGCTTTGCTCCCGGTTTTGCATAATAAACATTTGAAGAAATTGATGTATGGTTATAAAAAGATGATTATGAATTTGTTTCCTTGTTTTTCTGTACTTGTCCCTTACTAATATCATATGTGATTAATAATCAATATAAAATGTATAGGTAGGCACAGGTTTGATATACTCTATTGTCTATCTTTAGTCCCTGAAAGCTACATTAAATAATTACATTCATAAATCTCGTTTCTATCGTGAAAACAGACAAACGTTATATATAACGTGACGTGTCCTAAAACCCGGAAGTAAGCTGCGCATGGGTACCTTACAATAATGTTCTAATCATAAATCTATCGATCATAAATCTAATCGATAGATTTATGATTTGAAAATTATAAAAGTAAGGTAGACATGTGGATATTATCCGGCTGAACAAAAGGTGATCCATCTCTGATCAATATGGAAAGGTAAATAAAGGACTGGTTTCTAAATATGATTGAGTTTGTAAGTTAAAGTGTCTGATGGATATCACTAAAGTATTTAAAAGTATTTAGAACGTCACAGTCCGCTGTCTATGTACACAAAACCTCCCTGTCCCTAAATAATGGCAACATTATCAGAATCACAAACACTTATGTTTTTAAACCAATTCAAGAGACATGTTAGAAATAAAGAGACATGTTTGATTCATTTAGAAAAAGGGAAAACAATATCACTCGCTTCTACCTGGCCGGATCCATTTTGAAATTCAGTTCCTGACGGACGCCAAAAAAGCCCGAGATTATGGAATTAAACCAATAAATAAAAGCAAGGATATTTGTGTGTTATTGGTGAGTAAATAACAGTGTGTTATTTTGAAAAGAATATCGAATTAGAAGGAAACAAATATTTAAAAATACAGATTTCAGTATCCTATAGGCTCTGAGCCACATTTATTTTCCTCACAGACGGCAACAAAAGTCCGAAATTATACGATTTCAAATAAAAGCAATAACTGTGGCTTGATATTGAGTAAGAACATGTTTTTATGAAGCACACAGCTTCCGGTCTTCCTCGACCCGACCGGAGAAAAATACGTGCTGCAGGCAGTAGAAATACATTGCTTTTAAAATCGTGCTGTGCAACACGAAAAAAAGGAGCAAATCGTGTTGGTGAACATGAATCAATAGATTAAAAATCGTGTTGGTGAACACGAAATGCCGTGAGACTGGGTTGTATAATCAGTTGATATCTGACATCCCCACAGAGGATACATCTCCTATTGAAACACCTTAAGAGCGTCTCACAATAATATTCAGATGTATAAGACGGTGTGCAGACGTCCTCCGTCTGTTTCATAACGTAACTATTAAAGTGTTTCTGTCTCCATACCTCTGGTGTTTTCACGTCCACATGCTGACACACACAGCGTGATAATCACTTTTATTGTGAGGACCAATCAAAACACTTCTCAAAGAGATTCAGAAACAAAGCTAAACATTTGAAACAGCCTTTAAAGGCCCTGACACACCAGGCCGATTTCGGCGGCTTTCGTAAGTCGGGAGACGAAGCGTGTCCTGTCGCCCAAACTCAATTTGGTGTGTCCCGCACCGCCGACTGTGACACGCCTTATTTGGACTGCCAGACCCGATGCATGACCGATTCAACATGTTGAATCGGCCATGCATCGGGTCTGGCAGTCGGACCAAACAATCACTCTGATTGGCTGTTCAGCTAGCGAATCAGTGCATGAGAAGCGAAACGGAAGTGAGGGACGTAAACAAACGATTTAAGAAGGCACACACAGACTGATATTCATTTTCATCTCATCATGGCGATCTGGAATGACGCAAACGAAAACCTGCTCATCACCTTGATCCAGGAGAGGCCAGCTCTGTACGACATCACAGAGAGAAGGTACTCGAACCGAGTAGTGAAAACCGGACTCTGGCGAGAGATTGAAACGCAACTTGGTTTCTCGGGTAAGATTATCTTTTTCATCAATTGAGCTCTTTAGCAGATATTGTTGGCTTTTTATTGTTTGCCAGCGTACAGTGACGTTAACGTGAAATGTAATTTGTTATTTCAACCTTGTGTTTTGTTGTTATCTTGTTGCTAGCTGTGCAGTTTGGCACTGCATATAGATATGAATTGGACATGCTAACTAGCCACAATGCTTACATCGTTTATGTGTGCTTCAGAGAAAGAGCTGAGGAAGAAGTGGATTCTCTGCGAACCCAGTGCACCCGGTACAGGAAACTTGCCCCTTCGGGTAGTTGTGGAGCACCAAAGACGGGCAGACAGCAGTGGATCATAACCAGGCTGCAGTTTGCACACGCTATTTGTTGTTGTTTATATAATCACGCAGTCTGTTCTTCTTCTCTGTCTTCCGGTTGTTGCCTATTTTTAATGACGAATACACACTACCGCCGCCTGCTGGTAAGGAGACTTATTGCCACTCACGCACTGAAGTCTTTGCTGTGTGTTCCCGTGCGACACATGGCCAAGACGCAGGAGAACACCGCGACGCAACAGCCGACGTCGGCGAGTCCTCCTGCGTCTTGGCCATGTGTCGCACGGGAACACACCGCAAAGACTTCAGCCGAGCACGTACGAACGCCTGCGTGAGTGGCAATAACTCTCCTTACCAGCAGGCGGCGGTAGTATGTTTTCGTCATTCAAAAGAGGCAACCGGAAGACAGACTGCGTGATCTAAACAAACAACAAATAGCGTGTGCGTTCCATGTTCACTTTCGTCCATCGAAAACATGTTTCGTGCGGTACTGGAGCTATCAGCCATTGGAGTGTTGCTCGTGGAAGACATTCTCAAGCAACCGTTTCGCTTCTCATGCACTGATTCGCTAGCTGAACAGCCAATCAGAGTGATTTCTCTGTCCGACTGCTTGTGGCCGACGCACGGCCATGAAAGGCCAAATAAGGCGTGTCACGGCCGACGGTGCGGGACACGCCAAATTGAGTTTGGGCGACAGGGCACGCTTCGTCGTCCGACAAACGAAAACGGCCGATTTCGGCCTGGTGTGTCCGGGCCTTAATCTGCCTGAGGCTACAGGCATCAAAAAGCGTTATTTAAACTGAATTCTGTCCGACCCATCACCTTATTATTTATGAACATTTCATCACATGTCATCGTTGTAGTCTGTAATAATTACTGAACACGTCTGAGGGTTTTTATCAATAACAGATATCTGATGTATATGATTTATGATCCTAAATTGTGTTTGTGCACTCAGGGAGAATCAATCAGGTATTCATCGTTAGAACGGCTTTTTATCTGATTTCATATATTCAAACATTGTATGAGAGGATATATTTAGATTCATGTCTGAACTCCACAGCATTTCTCTGGTCTCCTCCTTCAGAGTCTCAGGCTCCGAGCGAGGTCACGGAGTCTCAGGCTCTGAGCGAGGTCACAGAGTCTGAGGCTCTGAGCGAGGTCACGGAGTCTCAGGCTCTGAGCGAGGTCACAGAGTCTCAGGCTCTGAGCGAGGTCACAGAGTCTCAGGCTCTGAGCGAGGTCACAGAGTCTCAGGCTCTGAGCGAGGTCACAGAGTCTCAGGCTCTGAGGTCACAGAGTCTCAGGCTCTGAGGTCACGGAGTCTCAGGCTCTGAGGTCACGGAGTCTCAGGCTCTGAGCGAGGTCACAGAGTTTCTCTTGACATGGTAAAGCTTCTCTCAGAGTGTCAGCATGCTCTCAGCTCTGTTAGCGGCTCCTGCTCCGTCCTTTCAGAAAGCAGCAGGGATGTTGCTGTGAAGCTGTGGTGAGAAACAGCCTCACGGTGTGTGAGAGACAAAGCTCATTGACCTCCTGCTGGTTGTTCTGATTATTGTTACTAATAGTTTACAGAGCTCACATGAGGACTCTCCAGCTGTTATCTCTGGGTGTGGATTAGTTGGGTTTAGACCTGCTGTGTGCCGGGGTTACAGCCACTGCTGCACTGTGTGTGTGTGTGTGTGTGTGTGTGTGTGTGTGTGTGTGTGTGTGTGTGTGTGTGTGTGTGTATGTGTGTGTATGTGTGTGTGTGTGTGTGTGTGTGTGTCACCAGCAGGGGCGCCGCCAGGGATTTTGGGCCCCATGAAAATATATCACATTGGGCTCCACCACCAGGCACAGGCCACTTTGTTTATAAATTACCTCGAGAGCCGTACCAAATGATCTAGCGGTCCGTATACGGCCCGGGGGCCGGAGATTCCCCACCCCTGCTTTAATATAATAACATTAGTATTAATATCATAACCAAAATGTCTGTGATTAACATTTTGTTTACAGACTGATCACTCAATGCTTCAAACTGTCCATCATCCTAAATAGACTAAAAGCAGTTTTTTGTTTTATATAGATCATTGGCTATGTGGGAAAATACTGTGTTTGAAATGTATAATTTAAATTAGATGTTAGCTTTTTGTTATATATATATTTTGTATTCCAGTCTCCCTGCAGATATGTTAAGTGGCATGTCATTCAACACAATGCTGCTCACCTCCTTCAGTTGGGAGAAAAGCTGGTTCAGGTTCAGCATTATGGGGGGACAGGGCTGTTGAGCCTAGAGATGGATCTGTTGGACTTGGCACCAGGGGGAGGGACAACTGATTTAGTATGAATAGGCGCTAAAAATGTGCCTGCATTTATTAAAGGTAGGGAGGTAAGAATGGAGAAACCAGCTCGAGTGCGCTAGAATTTGAAAGTACACAACCGAAAAAAATCTGCCCCTTCTTTCAGACTTCCTTAAAGGAATGCTCCACTCATTAGATAATTAATCAAAAATTCAGTATTTAGTGAAACATTATGTTTAAACCATACCCTGAAGAAATCAGCGATATTCCCCGGTAAATAATGATTTTATAGCTCTTTTTTATCAAAACCTGTATATTCCGTCAGGCCGCTGCCATTTTGCCCATTTTCAGTAGTCACGTGATGGTCGTGACGTCATCCATGCGTTCACTTTGTAAACACCATATACAGTCTATGGCAAACACACGAAAACATGGCGAAGTTTTGAGCAATATGAAGAGATTGGAAGGGGGAATTCAGCCATACAGGTTCGAGCCTACTTAGTACTACTTAGTAGATACAATGATTTTAGATTACTAGATATGTATGCATGTAGTACCACCCTTGCTAGCGATTCCCTCTCTAGTTTAGCATACTCAGCCTCGTTGTCCCTGGCCCTAGAACCACGATTTTATGGGGCCGGAAAAACTGGGGGAAAATACCCACTAGCCGGTACTACGCTATATGGAAAGGCCACCAAAAACTGGCCTGGCCTGGACGATAAAGGACGTTTGAACGGGGCTACCCGCTGCAATGGAAATGCGCTATAACATACCTTATTCTTACTCCGAGCACTACTTCTGGTCCTCCGTCGCTTCACACTTGCAGAGGGCGATTTCTCAACTGGCCGAACTGGTGTTCTGGTCGGTGATGACACCAGAAAGACCGATGGTACTGCATCTCCATTAAGTAATGGTTGTTCAATAAATCCCATGTTATGTGTTATCATACTCTCAGACTCTGAGTAGTCGTCCGGAAACTTGAAATGTTCGCTGCATACATGCGCCTGTGGATCTTTCGGTTCGGGCCGGCCACATTTCGCTAGCCACTGCCTCCGAACGTACTTCCTACGCTTACCTTTTGGCAACAGATGGAACCGAGCATTCCGTGGATTGTTCCTATCAGAACTGTGGCAATGTTTCGCGATACAATGAGGCATATTTGAAGAGAGTAACTACAGTAAATAACATGAACATCAACGTGTCCTCGAAACCAAACGCATGGTTCACGTCACGTCCGGTAAAATGGCGCCGCCCACAGTGTTGATGTTATTTCGGTAATTAATCAGTTTAAAATCACTTATAATGTCATCGGATTAAAAAAAAAAAAAAAAGACTGGCAGAGACTGGTCTGTTTTATCGGATGATAATTATTTAAAAATGAGTGTCATGAGCATACCATTCCTTTACAGAGCCCCTCCTCCAACACACACGAACGCGCACATGACCAATGAGGGCACGAGATAAGTTTGTGCACAGATGAAGGCTGACAGGCAGGTAGGCCATCCAGTTACTTTAGCCGACTCAGATGATTGGTCGTGCTTTTTACAGCGCCACGGCTTCCACTGATGACATTTTTGTATGTATTTGTTGTCAAATCATTTAATATATTCATTGCTGTCGGGATGTTAAGAGCATTCCATGGAATATAACAAAAAGTGTTTCTGAAGTGAATTACCTACCATACCTTTAAATGTCAGCTAAAAGAGCAGTGAAATTAAAAACATTAGCTAACAGACTCATTTCCACCACTCATGGACCACACCCACCTTTTCTTGTGAAAAACTGTGTGACATACTGTCGCCCTTTAGTCCCTCTCTCTTGTCTTTCTCTCCTTTCTCTTCTTTTCTTAGAGCCTGACTTTGTTGGTCGTTGAAACATGGTACAACACATGTATGTAGGCTAAGTACTAGCATCCCTCCTCACATGCTTTCACTCTCTGCAAGTGCCGGTGCCGCACCGCGTTTGGAGGCAGGACCAAACCATTACATGTAAATAGAAGGGGGTGTACAGAGGCTTTGGGTAATTAACTTTTGGAAGAAAATAAGTTAAATGAATCGTAAGTTTAGTGAGTACTTTATCAATATAACGTTCTATTCATGTTAATTATTGAGGATTGATGAAAGGTTACTTACATTTTTTTTCTTAATGTTCTAAACATTTTGGGGCCCCTGTCAGTCACGGGCCCTTAGAATCGTCCTAACTTTTCACCCCCTTACGGCGCCCCTGGTCACCAGGCCCTCTGATATTGTTTGTTAGAGCAACGTGTTTGAATCCTTTTAATTAGAAATAAATCACTTTTTCTAACAACATCATTATTAAACAGAACTTTACATGTTGTTGAAATGCATCCTCTGTTGGCGGCAGATTTTCCGAGGCTGCATCTGTTGTTGATGCAATTATGAACCTCAGTTCACCCAAGTGTGTGCATATCAGTCCAATTTCCTTTTTTCCATATAGTAGAAGCACAAATTCTCTTGCGACTGGCAAAGACTCTTCCAAGCTGGCAGAGAGTCCAAAATGGGCCAGATCTTTGAGCTCGCTGAGATGGGTCTTGAGTTTGGTGAATGCTGTTGTCTTTCCTATTCTGTACTACTTGTTGTGCCACAGCCAGTGAGTGCATGACATGCTGGGAGACAGTAAGACATGTCTTTTCCAATGTTCTCACATGTGGTGTTGATGGGGACATATCTCTCTCTCATTCCATGGCCTGCATGCATGTACACTAGAGATGAACCAAACATTGAATTGCTTGCATAATATATGAGCAGTACTTCCACACCTGTGTCATCAGACGTCACAATGATGCGGGAATATGACTCTCAGGAGTCAGCAGTTTGACATCATGAGGAGGCAGACACAAGGATGGTGCTCCATGCCATACATCTTGAGTCATATTCCCGCATCATTGTGAGGTCTGATGACACAGATGTGGAAGTACTGCTCATATATTATGCAAGCAATGAAATGTGAAGAGTAAGGATGTTTCAAATGAATTCACCCAACCGAGAAATACTTTTTAAAGGAGATATACTCAACACATTTCTATGCAGTGAAGAGGTCTGAGTTCTCCAGTGGTTTAGTGCACACCATACCAACATCAGATCGTTTTTACATCTGGTATACTTATATCATTAGGATAAAATGTCCCTTACAAGTTGCCAATTTGAAGGTCTGTTTTTAAAACTATTATTTCAGTCAAAGTGAGTCTTCAGTACATCAGTAAACTGAAGATCATGGTTTATGGTAAGAATGAGAGTACAAACTAAATGTGACTACAATATTCATAGCTGTCCAGTCACATACTGTACGTGTAATCATACAAGTAAAATCACAAAGAACTCAGATATTTGGAATTGCGGGGACTTTATTAATGAGAAAACAAAAGTACAAAACAAATGAAATATCAGAGCAACGTCTAGTTTATAAAACTAAGAGAAAAAGGTCCCTTATTCCTAAATACTAGCAGAAAAGCATCAATAGGTAAAAGCAGCCCGTCAGGATCTCAGCTAAAATTAATTATAGTTCAAAACAGAGCAAAGAAAGATATTTTGAAACAAAAACATAATCCTGATTAATTTAGAAAAACCTCAATTAAATGATCTATCAGATATAGAGAAATGTACAAAGTATTTACACAACTAGAAACAACATTTTATATTGGGGCGTATATTTAGTAGTGTGTGCACTTTTAGAGACGTAGCAACCAGATGGAAATACATTACATGCTCTTGTTATAGATGCTTTTACCCAAAGTGACTTGCATACATTCTGTACTGTGGACTCCCCACAGGTCTTCCCCAGGGACACGACATGCTGACTGCAGTGGGGATCGAACCAGTGCTACAATAATCTGAAGATCAGCGCACTATGCCACTGTGCCACAGCCTCTCAGTGTACGTTCAAGTAATGTCATACAAACCACAATAATTCATCCATTTCCTCACGCAGCATAAATGTGTGAATTTCCCTCAAGCCACATTTGTACATTCTTAAAATATCTATGATTGATTTGTTTAAATGTTTTGTAAAAGACAACTTTAACGACTATGATTATGAAGTAATTTGTATAATAGATTGACTTTCTAAAGGTTATTATTTGAGTTTGAAACTTCATCTGACCTGCTTCTCAAAATAAATGTCCCTTTTAAAAAAAAAAATCATATCACTTTCACCGCTTGTTATTCTTTGTAGCCACAACGTGTCACAGAGATTTAAGAAATACAACAAATGAAAAATCACGGAGGATTTTGCACATAGTTCAAGGCAGCAGGTGAATAGTTCAGACGAAGCACCTCACTGCGGGTTCATTGAGGATCTAGTTTCTCGGAGAGCTCAGAGCTGGAGGCAGGGGTTTGGAAATGAAAAGCAGATAAAAGTCTAAAATGTTTTAATCCACCGTACGACACATTTAATTGACCAAAAAGAGATGATTCCACTTTAATATACAGCTTTATATCTCTTTCCACCCCAGAAAAAGCCATTCAGATAATCATATTCTGTCTTGTCTATCTTTAGTTTAATAACTACTTTAGTTATTAAATAATTACATTTATAAATAATTATTTCAATCATGAAAACTGTTCTTATTATACATCCATGATGAAAACAGACGAACGTTATTACGTCCTTTGTGAAGAATCCAGTAGCTGTGATGCGATTGGTCGGCTGCCATTACGTCACAGGTCCACACAGCGTGACAGCCAATAGCAGCATACATGCAAATCTGATTCAAAAATAATTCCCGGGAAATCTTAAATTTCGCGCGTAATATCCTCTCTCCGTGTCAGATATCGGCTAGAAACCATATTTATTAACATAGCTTGTGAACAATAATGAACGAGAAGGACATGGATAGCTGGATATATATTCTAGAATCGTTTGAAATGATAAAAGTAGAAGCAAAACGGGACAAGATGAGAAACGGGTTTTGGTGGATATTAACGCGGAGTGTTCCGGCGAGAATAGATCGACCGGATCTTCTTCTTCGTCCTACATCGGTAGCACCGTGGACATTAAACATATTTTCCACAAGCCGATTGACTGTCCAAATGACCTAACAGCCCCCCGGATTGTCAACAATAACCGGGATAGTGCAGACATTGAAGAAGGAACAAGGTTAAGGTACGTTATGTGGAATTTAAAAGGGGATCTGGGGTCGTTTTGGAGAGTAGATGGAAAGCTGTTGTTGTGGGTACACATCTAATTCTTTAGCAGCTGTCCGTAGTAACCTGGAAGATATTTCGGACATTAACAGACTTAATATAACCCTTTTATCATGCATTTGGTCGTGTTTATTAGTCAAAATGTTGGAGGTTGTCCCTCTCGATAGGCTTATTTTATTCACATTATGTTACAAGCTGGTTAACATTAAGCGTTATCTAGCTTCTTATCAAATAGTGACATTAGGTGAGGAGGATGTATGTGATTTTAGTGACATTAGCACCATTTGTAACCCGAAATGCAACTTAATTGAGCTACATCAAGCACGCGGAGGCTACCATTGTTGTTACCGGAAGTGCAAAACCGTTCTTCAAAATAAAGATGAATGCTTGACAGGAAAAAGGTATCATATATTATAGGTGATGGGAAGATGTTGTTTTTCTGGTTGGTTAAACACCAGTGACTAAAACAACTGTGCTGCTTAATACAACATAATATTACCACCTGACACCCATTGGATTAAGGCCATGCAAAGGGTGTATTCATCCAATTAATGTGGTCCAACCTTCAAACTTTTGGCCCTGATGTGGCTTGGGGGGCGGGGCTTACCAAAGAGTAGTTTGGCATCCTGAGTGACAGACAGAAATATAACTCAACACTTTCTATACACAAGACTCCCGAGATTGGTGGGAAACCAAACTGATACCAGAGACATCATTGTACTTTTCAAAGTTCAGGATAACAACTTGAACTTTCAAATAAATTGTATTTTTTGGAATGATCGAAACTCATGTCCCCGATATAGCTCCATACATTTCCCCATGAAAACTGCCCTATATTTCAATTTCAATGTAAATACTGCTTTACTGTTTTTATTTTGAAAGTGACTCATTGCAGCCATGGCTCTATTTCTGTATTTCCGGTAGCTTTACAGTCATTTTACCTTTTGAGGCATCACACCGCGCCTGGTCGGAACATACTTTTTGCACACTTTGCGCTATTAATGCTGCACAGGCTGACAGTGCTTTAAAACACCGAGTTTCTCTGTGAACACACTGGTAAGAAACTCACTGAATTAACTGGTTTAATTCTGTCCACGAGCAAACTCATGCTAGGCCTTTTGGTGAGCGTGGGGAGGGGGATGGGGAAATGTTGCTCCAACTAGCTAAACACTGCAGAAAGAAGCTAGCTGCTGTCCCAGGTAATGACACTCCTTTTAAAACCACCATTAACCAGCTCCAGGTGAATATTTAAACGTATAATATAATGCAGAAACACGCACAATGCTTCCAACTACATGCATGTTCAGTCACAAGGCAATACAATCACTTGTTTTTACTGTATTTTGAATAAAACGACTGCCCTGGAACCATTGATTTAATCAGATGTTTGTCTTAATTTGCAATTTAATGCATGTTTTTTTTTCAGGTAAAAAGAAGGCTGGAGCTGGAAGCAGGAGAAACCCAGGACCTTCAGGATGGAGACAGGACCTCCAAATCCAAACAACTGGTGGCTCCTCTGTCCCAAACACCAGGGAAGGGTAAGACTTTGTACATTCATTATGTTATTTAGTAATTAATAGCCAATGTTCTAGTCCTCTGCGACCAACGTGGTTGATACTGACCTGTACTTTTGTCTCAAACTGTCACGTGACTCAAACTTTGTGAGAATCATGATAAATAACCTGGGGAACTTGACATTACTTAACATTACATCATGTCAATTGTTAGCTGCAAAATGTGCAATTTCGCTATTTAAAAAGTAGTGACAGATACAAGTACCAAGCACAAGTGCCCCTTGTACATGTATCACTTTATTTAGTCATTAATAGCTAATGTTCTAGTTCTCTGCGACCAACGTGGTTGATACCAGTCTGTATTTTTGTCTCAAACTGTCATGTGACTCAAACTGTGGGAACCGTGATAAATAACCTGGGGAACTTGACATTACATTACCGTACAATACAAAGGGGCTTTATTGGCACGAGCACATTTTAAACATAGTATTGCCAAAGCATTCTGCACAAGGCGTTATAACTAGGGCTGTCAAACGATTACAATTTGTAATCAGATTAATCACAGCTTAAAAATTAATTAATCAGATTAATCACCATTCGAACTATGTCCAAAATATGCCATTTCTTTATGTATATTGTTGTGGGAATGGAAAGATAAATGAAAGAAGGCGGATATATCCATTTAACACAGTATGTATGTTTATTATAACATTTTTCTGCATGTCAAAATGAAAGACAACCCACACACCTATCAATCATCAAACCGTGGGGTCTTAATTCATTACGTGTTGATTTCTATCAACGGGGGAGTACTTCAGGAAAGTCGACAGAGGGGGGGGGGGGGGCTAGTCGAGTACTTCGTGACCACAGAGTGTGAACGTGGTGATCAGCTGTTTTAGCGCAGTTCTCCAGTGAAGGGGGGAAGTCTCCCTCCGCAGCCGGTTGGCGTAGTTTTGGCACAATTCCGTTGTACAGACCGACGTTAACAGCAGCCCTGTCTGTGCACACGGAGACCGACTCTGTCGTCCGGTGATCTAACCGCCTTCTGGAAAAGCTTCACAAGTATGTCGGTACGCAAATGCGCTTTGTGACACAAGTGACGGTACGCATTTCAGATTACGCACATAACCTGCGTACCAGTTATGTGCACCTACTACAGCAAAAGTATTCTCCGTCGGGACTTCCTGCAACAACACCACGCCGTTATCTTGATTCTGATTGGCCAGAAGACATTATCAAAGATCTTCTATTGAGAAGACGATCACTACGTGACAAAAGTTTTCAAAACCGTTTCTGGTCTTCGGTATTTCCAGACAAGTGGCTGAAATCAATCTTACTAACTGCTGTCTGTGCAATTTACTCCGCGCGAGTTGGCAGACTTTATTTTGCTTCCTTTAACATCATTTTTCATGGTGGGGCTAAGCCATTTATTGGTATGGGTGTAGCCTACCCCAGCCATACCCTGGCGCTGCCACTGGTGGCACGTATGGGGCGGGCCATTCTGCACATGCGTTAAATGCGTTAAATATTTTAACGCAATTAATTAAAAAAATTAATTACCGCCGTTAACGCGATAATTTTGACAGCATTAGTTATAACAGAACAAAAGGAAACACTTAACATACATTTCAACAATACATGACTGTATAACACAAAACATACTGTATATGCCAACAACTTGCAACGTGTTAGATGCTTTTACCCAAAGCGACTTACATACATTCAGTACTGTGGGCAATCCCAACAGGAGCAAATAGTGTCTCAGGTACACAACGACATGCTGACTGCAGTGGGGTTTGAACCAGTGCTCCCCTGATCTGAAGATCAACGCACTTTCCCACTGAGCCACATCCTCAATTTGAATTCTGCCAAAGTCCCATTATGCTGCATCTGCATTTAAGTTAAAAAGAGCAATTTGAATTGATTTTAAAATGCATATACAATTGCAATAAAAGCAAAAATACGAAGAAATTAACGACAAAATTAAATGTTTTAAGGAGTGGTGAGTAATGACGTATTTTGCAGGCCAACCCGGAATTTAGCATGGCAAGAAGCAGCCTCCATTTTAGGTCACATAGAAGCGTGGGACATTTACTAATGGGGTATTTACTGGCCTACTTTATGTCTTCAACTTGTGTTTACCACAGACCTTATTTCAGGTATCTAACCGGAAACCTGTTCAAAAAGACTTGCAAGAGAAGGGCACTGTGTGTGGTTCAATGCTAACTCATTTCCAGGTTTTAGGACTCATTCCTGCACCACTCTTATGTCATGAGGTCAAGGCAAGATGTAGTATAAGTAATAAGCATTTGACACTAGATCACCACATTATGTCTAATGTTATGTTGATGTCTCGTTTCGGTCATAATGCCATTTGCTGGTTTCAGAGTTATCTAACCGACCGTACTCAATGCGTCAGGCTGGGTAGTACTGACTCTGACCCTGTCACCTTGGAGAAGGGAGTTCCACAGGGCTCTATTTTGGGGCCTTTGCTCTTTTTATTATATGTAAACAATATTTGCAATCAAACGCAATTTTCTACCTATCATATGTATGCTGAGGACACTATTGTATACTCATATGCTCCTTCTCTGGATTTGGCCGTTTCCAATTTAAAATCTGATGTCACGCTGCAGCAAGCACTTCTTGATTCCAAACTGCTTTTGAACAGTAAGAAACCAAAGCAATGCTTTTTGCTCCCAAGTCAGCGTCCTCTTGCCTCTCCATTGACACCCTTGATGGCGTCTCTGTTGAGTTTGTCGATACCTACAAATATCTGGGCTTTTAGTTGGACAGTAATCTGAACTTCAAACACCACATTGAAGTTCTAACAAAGAAATTGAAATTCACTCTTTTCAGACTTAAATGTTGTTTTTCAGCTTCATCCCGTAAAAGGTTGCTCTCTGGATTATTCCTGTCCCAGCTGGACTGCGGTGATACCATCTATAGATTTGCCTGTCCCACTGTTTTGGCCAAACTTGATCCACTCTACCATGCTGCACTGCGATATATATCAAATGCACCCTATAGGACTCATCATGCACACTGTATAGCCTAACTGGATGGTCCTCACTTAGTATGCGTACGATGCAGCATTGGTTTTTATTAATGTATAAAGCCATTTTAGGAAAGCTTCCACATATGTGCCAGATTTGCTCCAGTTTGTGACTCTTACAGCCTCAGACCCAGTGCCTGGATACGGGTCCAGGTTCCTGCCGTGCGGACTGAGGCTGGAAAAAGGAGTCTTTTTCATTCTGGTCCTTGGTCTTGGAATGACCTTCAATCACGCCTCAAACTGAGCGCACTTGTCCCGATAGCCGGTTTTAAGTTGAAGTTGTCTGAAGTCCTTACCACCAGCTGCTCTTGCAGTAATAAGTAGTGTACCTTTCTTACTGTCCTAATGTGCTCAATGTAGTGACTGCTTTTTCGTCTTTTGTTTACTTAGTTATGTTCTCTGTATTTTATATGTTTGTGTTCTGTGTAACGTTGCTGCCTTCTTGGCCAGGTCAGCATTGCAAATGAGATTCTATCTCAATACTTTTATCTGGTTAAATAAAGGTTAAATAAAAAAATAAAATGTTTTGACACGCAATAGTTCAATGGATCCAGCCGCAATGAATTGTGGGACGGCATTATCTCTATTTTTTGGTAAAGGATGGTCCAGTGAACCCTCCAAATGCCAGAGTAGATAAGAGAGGAATCAATAAAGTGATTGAATTTGACTTCTCATGGACTAAGATACCTCCGGATCATTTGACTCAGTAAGGAAGCAAAAAGACTGGCAGCTTTAAATCAATTTAGATTTTGTACGTGCACTTTCCAGCACCACTATTCATTGTGAAGTACTTGTGTGTAGAGTTGTCCAAAGTTGCATTTATACGTATTCTTTTCTGTTTTTCTGGAAGTACCCATCACCTCCCAGATGTTTCCCACTTCCCTTTTTTCTCTCGCCATATTTCCAGTGAACCGCTGGATTATGATTATCTTTTATTGCTTCCCATAACTTTTCCTTAAAGTCTTGCTCTCCAAACTCTGTCTTGCTCTCTGTCACCGTCAACACTCCGGACCTAAATAGACTCCAAACATGTCTCGCTTTGAGTATCCATTTTAGAAATCCTTTTTAAGAAGTAGCATCTCAAATAAAAACGATGTCACCTTCCCAGTCCCGCCGGTCTCTGTGAGAAATCACGCTTTAAATCGATTTAGATATTTTTGATGTGCACTTTCCAGCACCACTATTCATTATATATGGTTAAGTACTTGTAGTCTTGTGTGGAAAGTTTTCCAAAGTTTTCCAATACCTGTACACTTCCCTTTTTCTCACGCCGTATTTCCAGTGAACCGCTGGATGATTATCTTTTATTCCTTTCCATAACTTTTCCCTAAAGTGTGTGTTAACTCAGTGTTTTTCAAAGTGGGGGCCCCGACCCCCCGGGGGGCCGCCAGGGGGCACCAGGGGGGTCACGCAAAGTTTGGGGGAAAGGGGAATATTTTTCCTTATTAAAGTTACATTTTTTTCCTTTGATGCCAATCTTTTAATATTTTTTATTTATTCATATTTTATTTTATTGTTTTTAAATCACACGACCGCCCTTCAAGCCAATCAGAATCGAGCTGCCGCTACTGAGAGTGACACTGAGTATCTGCTCAGCTTTTGGAGCAAGTGAGAGCTAGTGAATGTTTCGCTCTGCAGCTGGATGAGAGCACGGATGTAGCAAATATTGATGTTTATATATATGAATATAAATACGTTAATTGTTAATATTACTGTTGAATATTATATATAATATTATTAAGGCATAAGTAGCTTTAAAAAATGCTAAAAATATATGTTAATTGTTCATATTACTGTTCAAAATTATATAATATTATAAAGACTGAAATCACTTTAAAAATATGTTTGCTGTTGATATTACTGTTTAATATTGTGTTAAGAATGTTTATAACAGAAGACACGATCAATGTAATGAATGACAAACAAAAGATGAATACCATTTTTTTTTTAGAAGAATAACTGATTATTAATTATTAATAAAATATATATTAAGAAAATGTATTAAGCTGTATGATTCATTTGTCATATTCTCCATCATAATGTACTCATCATTTAAAAAAAATTGCAACAGGGGGGTCCCTGCCAGAGGATAATGCTATATGGGGTCCAACGTTTGGGAACCCCTGTGTTAACGTCCATGCACTATTTCTGTTTCCGTTTAATGTGTTCACTTTGGAGTTTTATTGTGAAGAACCGGAAGTGTTACCGGATGTTGTGAAGTGTTACGTGTTGTATGTGATATCCGAAGATGGCGGTGTGCGGAAATAAAGTGTTGTGCTAAGACGAAAGTGTGTCTTATCGAGTAACAGTCTGCTCTCCAAACTTGTCTTGCTCTCTGTCTCTGAGTATCCATTTATGTAGATTCGTAAAAAGGAAGCATCTCAAATAAATGTCTCCCGTTTCCTCCCCAGCTCCCTCCGCCAGTCCCATAGCCCGCCGGTCGATATGTGAGAAATCTCGTTTTGAAACGTCTCTGGGTTTGTTGACGCGGAGGTTTGCAGACATCATGAGGCGCTCTCATGACGGCGTCGTGGATCTGAACTTCGTCGCCAACGAGCTCAACGCCCCGAAGAGACGCCTCTACGACGTCACCAACGTCCTGGAGGGGATCAAACTCATCAAGAAGAAGTCCAAGAACTACATCGAGTGGTTGTAAGTATGAGTGGCAGTGTGTGTGTTTCTGTACGTGTGTGTGTGTTTCTGTACGTGTGTGTGTGTTTCTGTACGTGTGTGTGTGTTTCTGTACGTGTGTGTGGGTTTCTGTACATGTGTGTGTGTTTCTGTACATGTGTGTGTGTTTCTGTACATGTGTGTTTCTGTACGTGTGTGTGTGTTTCTGTACGTGCGTGTGTGTTTCTGTACATGTGTGTGTGTTTCTGTACATGTGTGTTTCTGTACGTGTGTGTGTGTTTCTGTACGTGTGTGTTTCTGTACATGTGTGTTTCTGTACGTGTGTGTGTGTTTCTGTACGTGTGTGTTTCTGTACGTGTGTGTTTCTGTATATGTGTGTGTTTCTGTACATGTGTGTTTCTGTACGCGCGTGTGTGGGTGTGTGTGTTTCAGTACATGTGTGTTTCTGTACGTGTGTGTGTGTTTCTGTACGTGTGTGTTTCTGTACGTGTGTGTTTCTGTATATGTGTGTGTTTCAGTACATGTGTGTTTCTGTACATGTGTGTGTACCTGATCTGATGTGTGCGTGTGTTTCTGTACTGATGTGTGTGTACCTGATCTGATGTGTGTGTGTTTCTGTACTGATGTGTGTGTGTACCTGTACTGATGTGTGTGTGTTTCTGGACTGATGTGTGTGTGTGTTTCTGTACTGATGTGTGTGTACCTGTACTGATGTGTGTGTTTCTGTACTGATGTGTGTGTTTCTGTACTGATATGTGTGTGTTTCTGTACTGATGTGTGTGTTTCTGTACTGATATGTGTGTGTTTCTGTACCTGTACTGATGTGTGTGTGTGTGTTTCTGGACTGATGTGTGTGTGTGTTTCTGTACTGATGTGTGTGTGTCTGTGCTGATGTGTGTGTGTTTCTGTACTGATGTGTGTGTGTGTGTGTTTCTGTACTGATGTGTGTGTGTCTGTGCTGATGTGTGTGTTTCTGTACTGATGTGTGTGTGTCTGTGCTGATGTGTGTGTTTCTGGACTGATGTGTGTGTGTCTGTGCTGATGTGTGTGTGTTTCTGTACTGATGTGTGTGTGTGTGTGTTTCTGTACTGATGTGTGTGTGTCTGTGCTGATGTGTGTGTTTCTGTACTGATGTGTGTGTGTCTGTGCTGATGTGTGTGTGTTTCTGTACTGATGTGTGTGTGTGTGTGTTTCTGTACTGATGTGTGTGTGTCTGTGCTGATGTGTGTGTTTCTGTACTGATGTGTGTGTGTTTCTGGACTGATGTGTGTGTGTTTCTGGACTGATGTGTGTGTGTCTGTGCTGATGTGTGTGTTTCTGTACTGATGTGTGTGTGTCTCTGTACTGATGTGTGTGTGTCTGTGCTGATGTGTGTGTTTCTGTACTGATGTGTGTGTGTTTCTGTACTGATGTGTGTGTGTCTGTGCTGATGTGTGTGTTTCTGTACTGATGTGTGTGTGTGTGTTTCTGGACTGATGTGTGTGTGTCTGTGCTGATGTGTGTGTGTGTTTCTGTACTGATGTGTGTGTGTGTGTTTCTGGACTGATGTGTGTGTGTGTGTGTGTGTGTGTGTGTAGGGGGGGTGAGGTGAACTCAGCAGCAGATGTGGAGCTGAAGGATCTGGTGGAGCAGGAGAGGATCCTGGACGAGTTGATCCTCAGCTGCAGGAGGCAGGTTCACCGGCTCTATGAGGACCAGAGCACTCAGAAATATCCTTTTGCATTTTAATTCAGCTTCGTTTTGTGCTGTTGTTGTAACCCAATGTTACCTTTAGTTAGGGCTGCACGATATTGGAAAAAACTGACATTGCGATATTTTCTTCCCCTGCCATATATATATATATATATATATATATATATATATATATATATATATATATATATATATATATATATATATATATATATATATATATATATATATTGCGATATGAAAAAATACAGGAATTGAAGAAAAGACCGTTTTTTTTTTGTCCGCAAACCATCCTTTCTTGAACTTGAATGCTAGACAATTGGTATTTTTCTAACTATATTTAACCGGATGAAGGATTTTAGTCACGGACGTCTGGATCTTAAGCTATCAGAGCAACGAGCTCGGTTATCCTGCTGTGATCTGATCACGAGAGCCGCGCGAGTTTTCCTTTTGTAGAAAGCAGCAAAAGAATTGTAACATGACGTGTTTGAGTTAATTAGCTTACTTAATATCGCACGTCCTAAAAAAACACGATTATCGTCACGACATATCGTGCAGCCCTACCTTTTGTCATCTATCAATACTAGCTTTGTCAACAACTTTTAATTCAGATTCAAGGCTTTATTGTCACCAGAATCTTTTTTAATAATAAAAAGAAAACAGATATTGTGTGCATTAGCTACAGTGTAGATATGGCAATGAACATCTTAAGTCCCAGGCTCCTCCAACAGAGCAACATGAATATATAGAAGACAAATTAACCAATACAAATAGTGAAGGAAATAACAATAGAAATAAAATAGTGCAAGAGAATGTTTTGAGATTTGCAAGTAAATACTAATAAACTAGAACTAGTGCAAGAAGAGTCTATATACAAGTCAATGGAATATGATGTATAGATCAATAATTACCACCTAACTCCACAAATATCCAAAAACACATCGTTTTTCTAGAACAGATTACAAATCGCCTGAAAATTGTACAAACGAGTGGCAACATGTGATGAAGGTGTTGCGCTGGGCTATATCATGCAATCGAAAGTAAAACTTAAGCTCGCTCCATTGCGGAGATATTCCCGCGAGAGTGCAGAAAACTTAAAAGTATTTATTTATTTCAAATGTGACATTTTACAATATACTTACGGACCACTAGGGGGCGCTCACAGACCACCAGTGGAGCGCAGACCACACTTACGGCCCGTCCACACTACAGCTTCAAAAACGGTTTCCAACGCGTCTGCCCCTCACTTTGAATGGGGTGACGTCACTTTTCGCCGAACTGCATTGTGGGAAGCAGAGCGGAGCTTTCCTGGCGTTTCAGGCTGCAAACGTTGAGCAATGTTCAACTTTTGAAGCTTTCGGTGGAAGCGTCAGCCAATCAAATCATATGCCAGTACAAGCTCTAGCCAATCAGACCACTGCTTGTGTGTCAGGGGCGGGAGATTCATGTGATTGGTTGTTGGTCGAGCTTCAGACACGCCCAGCTCCAAGCTTTTTTTGAAGCTGTAGTGTGGACGGGCCGTTAGAGAAGCACTGGACTAGATGGACTGAAATATAAAATGTAATCTGAAGGCTAAACATTTATTTTTTTCTTTCTTATAAAAGACAAAAGGGCTCAATTTTTAAAACATTTAAAACCAGGATGGTGTTGATAACATTTGATTTAAAAAATGACTGAAACAAGACGAAGAATACATAAAAATACCTGACGAAAAGACATTCAATTAGCACATGTACTTAGCATCTTGTAACACAGACAATCCAAACCAACAGCGCTTTGTTTTTACTGTGCACTCTCATTTCACCTACGTTACTCTAATCTGTTTTCCGTTATGTGCATGTTGTCTATAGTTATTTAGTGCAGTGATTCTCAAATGGGGGTACGTGGACCCCTAGGGGTACGTTGGGGTACTGCAGGTGGTACGTGAGATAGAAAAAATAGCATGCATGATTACAAAAATAATCTTAGTACAACAAGTTATATAGAAAACACAATTATGTATAAAACATTCCTAGAACCACCAAGCGGGTCCTCATATAAACATTTCAAATGTGTGTATTGCATTTTATAGTTTTTCATAATCTATCATTTCGATTCACTTCAATTGAAAAATCTGTTTTTAAAAAATGTGGTCTTTTTAATAAATGGCACACTGATGATATTGTAATTATTTATATAGGCTTTTTCTATCAAAAATGTTGAGGGTCAGTCAGGGGGTGCTTGGCTGAGAAGATGTTTCAAAGGGGGAACATTACTGACAAAGGTTTGAGAAGCACTGGTTTAGTGTATCCTCAGCTGTGCACAAACTCCTCCAGGTCCATTGTATTCCTTAACCTCGAGGACCACGTTTGCCTATCTGACCTACGAGGACGTCCAGCAGATTCCCAGCCTGAAGGAGCAGACTGTGATCGTGATCAGAGCTCCAGCTGAGACAAAACTGGAGGTTCCCCACCCAGAGGAGGTACAAGCATCAACAAAATCACTCCATTACATGTGTCTGTTCTTAATAACATGTTGGGAATGTAAAGGAATATTTTGGTCTTGTTAAAGTATATAGAGTTTAGTGATTTGTCCTCGGGAATCTGTTTAATGGTTAAAGTGTATTCCTGCCTGTAATGTGATCCATAGCTTCTCAGGAAGACACAGGTCAAGAGGTCATCTGATGTCTTGTGGGGGAGAAGCTTGGCTCATGTGGGTTTACAATGCAACGAGTCTTTGTCTCGACATCTGGCATGCATTAAAGGAAAACCCGCGTGTTTTAGGGCCCTCCTCTTCTTGTCTGTATAGTTGGGTGCTTGGCGCTTTTAGAGTTCAGAGTTTGCTGGGATCTTACATGAGAACTGTGATATGCTGTGAACTCTCCGGCCGTTCAGGCTCTCAATAAATATCAGTGTATTGACAGGCGAATCCAGTTTCCCTCATTTGATGATGCGCTCAACATTGCTGCAAAGAAGTTTTTACTTCACAGGGAACATCCTGAATGTCCTCTTCCAATCTGAGAGTAACATGATGACAAAGCTATCCCAACTGTAGCTGTGAACATGACAGGATGTGTGATTACCTAGAAGAGCATCAGGACTGTTTGAGGCAGATGATAGCTATGTGATTAACATGATGATTCAGCCTCTATGGAGAGAGACATCAAGCATGCTCATTTCTGACGTGGAGCTAATCTGAAGTAAACATTGAATACTGCTTTCTATTCCTCCATCTTGTGACTGAGTAACTCCCTCTCTTGATATCAGCATGTGAAGGACACTGTTCAGGAACTAGTTGATGCTCTGTATGTGATGACTCCTTCCATTCTGGAGAGGATCACAGATACATGGATCCTGAGGTTGAAGCTCAAGCCGGGGACGAGTGATATTTTTCTAACAGAAAACGACATTTTTAGTACTTTTTTCCGTTTGTTATTTTGAGCAAAACACTTCAGAGACATGTTTTTTATATATTTGTATACATCTGAGACCTATAATATATTTCTTAAAAATAGTATGACAGGAGATCTTTAATAAAAGCCCTTTGTTTTTCTTCCTCTCAGAGTCTGCAGGTTCACCTCAGCAGCACTCAGGGTCCCATCGAGGCGTTCCTCTGCTCTGAAAACTCCCTCCCTTTGGGGGCCACGGGGAACTACTTTCACTCCTCCTCAAACGGAAAGACCTCCACCCCCTTCGTGCCTTATTCACCTTTCGTCCAGGTGTCTTCCAAAGGTGAGTCGGACACTTTAACATCCCGTCGTCCATCTCTAAAATGTTGCCACAGAGAGACATGTCCGCATTGGTCAAATTAGGATGATTTTTTTTATGTTCGATTGACTTTTCGAGGGGGTTTTCGGGAGAAAAAGACGACCACAAATAATGACCATAAAATCCTTTGATGTTGAAGTTAGTTTACAGAAGACACAAACGACATATGAAGAAGAACAACATGGAAATGAATAGAAATTGTAAAAAAACACAAATCTAAATCTTAGAATTCTACACTACGAACCCTCATAATAATAATAATAATAAGGGTATATTTAAGTTCAACTGGTTATGACCTTACATCCCACAGTAGGAGAAGTGGTGTAAAAAGCAGTTAAGACTCTTAAAGGTGGGGTAGGTAAGAATGGAGAAACCAGCTCGAGTGTCCTAGAATTTGAAAATACACAGCTGGAAAAAATCTGCCCCTTCCTCACAGAGCCCCTCCTCCAACACACACGGAACGCGCACATGACCAATGAGGGCACGAGATAAGTTTGTGCACAGATGGAAGGCTGACAGGCAGGTAGGCCATCCAGTTACTTTAGCCGGCTCAGATGATTGGTCGTGCTTTTTACAGCGCCACGGCTTCCACTGATGAAATATTTGCATATATTTATTGTCAAAGCATTTAATATATTCATCGCTATCTGGACGTTAAGAGCATTCCATGGAATATAACAAGTGTTTCTGAAGTGAATTACCTACCCCACCTTTAAGGAGGCAGTAGACTTACAAAAACAACAGTCATGATCCCATTGTGAAAGGTATCATGGCAATTCAATCAATTTTCAAGCCTCTGCTTTTGAGAGGGAAAGGGTGAACTGGTCTATCGCCCAGAGTTCCCGTTAGCCGCTAATTACCGGACTATGACCGGTAAAATATGCTGAAGACCGGCAAATCTAAATCTCTCCGGTCAAAGTGTCGGGTCCAAATAATTTCCCCTTAGCGCAATACCGCATCAGTTGCACAACTTATGTGACAGACAAAGAGTATGTGACAGACAAGAATAGTCAATTCTAAAGTCTAACACGTAATGTGGAGAAAGAGATGTCCTGGATGGGTTGATTGTGCGTTGATCTGTTGGTAATGCCTCGGGGTTCCGGTGGGCATGTAAACAAATGCATAATGCTGTGCTATACTTTGTGGCCTCACCCGGTTGCATAGCGACGCTTATTGTTGAGGTGTCTTTTAAGAAGCAGGTAGTCATATCATTAGCTAGAACTAGCTGGATCTGATCGATATGGACATAAACGCGAGTCAAATCTGACGAGAGAGAGAGATCAGCTGGTGAGCGAAACACACACTTCAGGTTAGAATATCACACGGAGCTATTTTAATTACCTCTCAAACTACCGTAACTAGTTATAGATATGTTTAGTTTTACTGTCGGGTCACTCTGGATCCGCGAGCTGCATGATACTGACGGGCTGTCAGGAGAGGGAGAGAGCTCCGTTTATTATTCCTGTGTTATTGTAAAGTTACTGAACGCTTTTGAATAATGTAGTTAATCTACTATAATTAGTTTGTTTAATATCGAATCATATCAATTAGTTTTAAAGTTCAATAAATAACAAAGAAGACATTTGACCGGCACTTTTCTCATGTTGTCCGGAAGATTTAAACTTTAACGGACATGTTGACCGGCGACGGGAACTCTGCTCTCGCCGCAGGTTGAAATGAGTGAAAAGCCAGAAGTCCTTGATTTAGCTGCATGAGCTGAACATGTGAGGGATATATTTGAAGATGTTTCATGCAGAGCTCACCTCAGCAAACAGCTGTGAGTTGTCCAGTGGCGATGGAGAAGGATTACATAAAACAATGTTGGATGCAAACTAAATGCCAACACACACGTACTGAAAACACTTTCCTCATCTGGCTTTTTTAAAGGCTTAAAAGACTGGAATAATCTGTGCAAATGTATTATATATGTATTTACTGTTCTGCAGATTTAACATACTATTTCACCTCCAGTTGAATCCGTTCTGGTTATTGCAATATATATGTAGCCACTAGGAGGCAGTGTGAGCCTTTTTAACGGTTTAAGGCAGTGGTTCCCAAACTTTTTCAGTCGGCCCCCCCTTGGGTAATTGGAAATATTTTCGGCCCCCCCCCCAACCCGGTTCCGATCTATATTGCTAGCATTAATTGTATATTGGTGTAAAAACATTACATGTTCTCTGCTAATAATAAGAAGATACAACTATAATTTTATATTTTATTATGGATTACACATGAACAAAAGTGCTTGTAATAGATACTGTGAATTAATTTGGCCTAATTAAAACTAGTAGGCCTTCTTCCCTGAGTAGATTTTTAAATTCAAATGTATTTTGTTTTGAGACTGCCACTCAGTTCATTCTCAATGTTCAGCTTTGATCTGTATTTCGTTTTGATGGCAGCAACAGCAGAAAAGCCTCTCACACAAGTAGGATGTTGCAAAAGGCAGCAGTATGCCCACAGCTCTCTAACCAATGAGATATTTTCGAGCAGTGTTTGTTTACAATTTCTTTCCGCCCCCCCCCCCTGCAGTACCTCCCACAGTTTGAAAACCACTGGTTTAAGGGCATCTGTGCAAACGTATCGTATTCAGGGATATTCAACTAAAATTCAACGAGGTCCAGTTAGAGAAAATGTCCCCATGCAAAGGTCCGGAACATCAACATGTCTAACTTGCTTTATGAATGAGTGTGATATATATTGAAGTAGCTGTAGCTTTATCAACGTCTGCATGTAATCAACAACTGACTGCCAATCAAATAACGAAAGTACAAAAACAACAATATTTATTGTCAATGAACATTGAACTACAGATACACAGTAAATACTGTGGATGTGTGTAATGTTCCTCTCGGGCTGCATTTACAAATAAAATGGAGAAAATAAATAAAACAGCTTTTGAAAATGTGTGCATCTTAAAAGTGCTTAATTTTAGATAAATAAAATAAAGTGTAGCAGCAGCTTGAGTTTCCCTTTTTCTTTGTTAACCGTTTCACATCATGACTTAACAGTTTCAGACGATTATAGAACAATATCAGTCTTTACATCATAACAACTGAACAGTTTTAAAGTCTCTCTTTCTTTCCCTCTTATATTGCAGTCCCTCTCTCACTTTGTTTTGTTCAGTGCGAGAATTGAGCTGGAGCTTATTGTCGTGCCAGGAGTTTAGATCTGGGCTGAAATGGTGTCAGGGCCATTCTCACACACATGCAGGTGCTCATTGGTTGTGACCTCAGTTCTGACTTGAGAGGGAATGTTTGGTCAAACACTTTGTGTTTTGTCTCGCTCGTCTCTTCTTCTGTGTTTCTCTCCCTGTATCGCTCGCTCGTCTCTTCTTCTGTGTTTCTCTCCCTGTATTGCTCGCTCGTCTCTTCTTCTGTGTTTCTCTCCCTGTATCGCTCGCTCGTCTCTTCTTCTGTGTTTCTCTCCCTGTATCGCTCGCTCGTCTCTTCTTCTGTGTTTCTCTCCCTGTATCGCTCGCTCGTCTCTTCTTCTGTGTTTCTCTCCCTGTATCGCTCGCTCGTCTCTTCTTCTGTGTTTCTCTCCCTGTATCGCTCGCTCGTCTCTTCTTCTGTGTTTCTCTCCCTGTATCTCTCGCTCGTCTCTTCTTCTGTGTTTCTCTCCCTGTATTGCTCGCTCGTCTCTTCTTCTGTGTTTCTCTCCCTGTATCTCTCTCTCGTCTCTTCTTCTGTGTTTCTCTCCCTGTATCGCTCGCTCGTCTCTTCTTCTGTGTTTCTCTCCCTGTATCGCTCGCTCGTCTCTTCTGTGTTTCTCTCCCTGTATCGCTCGCTCGTCTCTTCTTCTGTGTTTCTCTCCCTGTATCGCTCGCTCGTCTCTTCTTCTGTGTTTCTCTCCCTGTATCGCTCGCTCGTCTCTTCTTCTGTGTTTCTCTCCCTGTATCTCTCGCTCGTCTCTTCTTCTGTGTTTCTCTCCCTGTACCGCTCGCTCGTCTCTTTCGCCCCCTGTCGGCAGCGGTTAAAATAGAATCGCCCCGTCAAAATTGAATTCCCCTATTAATGTATTGATTATAGGTCCGGGTCCGGATAGGTCCGGATCGCAGTCCTCCTGTTGCCGACCCCTGGTCTATATGATGAAAATGGTGCCTTTTTTAAAGGTGAAGGGTACTCTAATGGCGCGTTTCCAGTGCAGCGGGTAGCTCGCTTTAAGCGTGCCGAGCGGGGCCCGTTTTTGGTTGCGTTTCCACTTGGCCTATTACCGGCTAGCGGGTCCTAATTCACAGTTTTTCTGGCCCCATAAAATCGTGGTTCTAGGGCCAGGAACAACCAGGCTGAGTCGGGCTGAGTATGCTAAACTAGAGAGAGAATCGCTGGCAAGGGGGCTACAACTACAACAAGATGAACATATTTGACCGTGATTTAATTGTAATACACGTTTCAAAATGATGCCGACGTAACAACATACGGATACCGGTTAGTAAAAACCATGAATTAATGCTTTGACAAGTCTGCAGACAGACGGCAGGCGAAAAACCCTTTTTTAAAATGTGTGTTTTCTGAATGGAGATCGGCTAAGCTAACGCAGTATATGCTCTGACCGTCCACACTCACAACAACGGCCTATACAGACATAAATAAACCAGCGACTGTATTCACCATGACACAGGCAGTCTGTGGTTTGTACTTGTTTAACTTCTGTCTAGTTTCTGAACAGATATGAGGAGCTGTGAGCTCTGAGTGCTAACAGCTAACGGCTGTGTTGTTTTTCTGGGGCTCTCATTGAAGATGACGTCACGGCTCCGCCTACACTGCGTTACTATAGTAACTGCCCCAGTTCCTAAACTGTAATGGAAGCGCAGCATTAAAGTGAGCCGGGCCTAATAAGGCCTAACCAAACCGAGCGAGGCCTGCAGTGGAAACGCGCCATTAATAGAAAAGCAGGAATAATGGCAGGTAAAGCACAGAACTGAGTGTATGGAGCATAACATCTAAAATGTGAACGTTTTTAGACAACTTAAATTTGACAGAAAATGCTTTAAATGGAAATAAGGCCATCAGAAAAGAGTATGATTTTAAAAGCGATGTGAACAAAGGTTGTGTCGAGTAGAGAGGGTTTCCGATACTGTATTTACTTGCCACTCATGTCCTACCCATTTGTGTAAAGCACTTTGAATTGCCTTGTGTTGAAAGGTGCTATATAAATAAACGTGCCTTGCTCTGCTCAGGGAATGCTATTAAAGGAAATAAGGCCATCAGAAAAGAGTGTGACTTAAAAGCCATGTGAACAAAGGTTGTAGAGAGGGTTTGGGTTTCTGTATTTACTTTGTACTCTGCTCATACTTGCTTTGCGCATTTAAACATTCACCGCTCTCTTTGTTCTCCTCCTATACCCCCTTTCCAGACAAAGATAACCGTACCTCGGGACTCGATAATACCTCCAACACGCCGTCCGGACCGACCCTAAACTCACCTGCAGTCTCCCCTGCAGTCTCCCCCATGCAAACCTCCCTCCAATCCCAGAGTTTTGTGACCCTCACCCCCCCCTCAGCGTTCTCCATTGACGGGGGGGAGTACATCCTGAGTCTGAATGAGGAGGAGGAGGGCATCACTGACCTCTTCTCTTCCTTTGAACTGGACCATTTGCCCATGGATGTGCCGATTCTGTGAACAGCTGATCTGGAAGTAAAGTCATTTTGGAGACCGGGATATCGTGGAGGAAATATAAAAAAACGACAGAAGAGATTTCTATTTTGTTACATCCTGGACGATGTGATTTACTGACACTCAGGTACGTGGAGGAGATCTTTTTATACCCTCCTTGTTGACTTCAGGACTCACGCTGTTCTTCGGGAGTCAATAAGTGTCCTTCAGCAGAATCTGAGCATCGCTGTCTCAACACGGGACTATTTCTTGACCTTTGACCGGTCCCTGGTATTCATTTTTTTTAAAAAAAGGACATTTTGTGTTGTGGTCACATAGGAGCCTTCACAACAAGCACTGATCGTTTGGAGTTTAGTGTCAAGAAGTGTTGATTAAAAGCGTTTAAAATGCAAAGAACCTACATGTCTTGTCTTGACTCGGCTGCATGAGATGCAACTTTTTCTCACCTGATAATCGATTCCAAAACCTGAACTGGAGCTATCTGCTGATACTGATCCTATTTTAGTGATGTTTTCTCTGTCTATTTCTTTGTGTAGAATTCCCTGGAATAATACACGTGATGTGTAACATGACACCTGAGTTTGTGGCCTGTCATGAGTGGTTCAATTCGACCGTCCATTAGCTCCCATTTTAGAGCAAGACGTACCATGTACTGAATTATTAATTAAAGTAATTAAATGCCCAAACTGCTTGAACTAAATTAATTAAACAGGTTTTTCCCCAAAGTGGCAACCCAGGCTCTTTTAAGGTGGACCAGCTATTGGATTTGTATCTCGGCAGACGTTGATATCTGAAGATATAGTCTTCAAATAATCAATATAATATTATAACACGATTTACATGCATACAGTAATCTTAAAAATAACTTTAAATCTGATTTTGATAGTTTAGTTCAGGGGTCTGCAACCTTTTTGACCAAAAGAACCATTTTGCTCCCTTTTCCAACAATTTTCTTTGTCTGGAGCCGCAAAACATATTTGATAGCTTGATAGCTTATAAAGTTGTATTTATTGTTATATCTTATATCACAGACATTTGCTTTTATTATTTATTACATTATATAAAACTGTTAACCTCTAATAAGAAACAAAGAACTCCTATAAGGAGAATTACAAATAATACACAGGCCTACTTTAAAATAAATTAAACGCATCACTTGGAGAGTCCTCTGCACATTTGAAGGAAATGAATATAATTAAAATGGGCCCACTTTGAAATAAATAAAACATAGCTGCACCCTAAAAAGAGTTAAAGGTAGGGTAGGTAAGAACGGAGAAACCAGCTCGAGTGCGCTAGAATTTGAAAATACACAACCGGAAGAAATCTGCCCCTTCCTTCAGACTTCCTCACAGAGCCCCTCCTCCAACACACACGAACGCGCACATGACCAATGAGGGCACGAGATCAGTTTGTGCACAGATGGAAGGCTGACAGGCAGGTAGGCCATCCAGTTACTTTAGCCGGCTCAGATGATTGGTCGTGCTTTTTACAGCTACGGCTTCCACTGATGAGTTTTTGTATGTATTTATTGTCAAAGCATTTAATATATTCATTGCTATCGGGATGTTAAGAGCATTCCATGGAATATAACAAGTGTTTTCTGAAATAAATGACATACCCCATTGAATTATGACTGAAGGTCGTCAGCTGTCTTCCTCTCCCGTGTTTCTCCTCGATACGTAAAGGCTGCAGCACCGTTGACAACTTCTCTCTACATATCAAACATCCCGGTAAGCCAGCATCGTTTGCTGTGAAAGCAGATAACTCTGTCCACACAGAATTAAACCCTCTGTATTCCTCCGGTACTTTTCTTTTCTTTGATTTATCCATAGTTCGCTCATCGAGCCGGGGGTCAGGTTATTCGCCTGCAAGAAAAGGCGCTCGCGCGGGACCGTAGCAGGATGTGACGCATATTTTAGTTGACCTAATTAAAACCGTTTTGTTTTTTATTTGTGTCACAGTATCACCTCAAAATACGAAACATTTTCAACCACGCAAGAAAATATAAATAGTCCTACAAATACTTTTATTTTCATCTTATTTTTGTCCAAGCTCAAGGGAGCCAGAGCAGAGGGCTTAAAGAGCCGCGGGTTGCCGACCCCTGGTTTAGGCCAATGGAATTTGATGGTACCCAATGCAAAACAAAGACCAATGACTTCCTATATTATTTTGATTTGATTCGATTTATTTCGGATGTAAAAAACAATACAAAGATTTAAAGGTCCCATGTCATGCTTTTCTGGTTATCACCCGTCCCCTTGTGTTCTGAAGCTTCTGCATGTAAACGGTCTGCAGAGTCACAAACCCTCAAAGTGCACCCTGTAGCGAGTAAAACTCTAACACAGAGAAGACCTGTCGATGCTGCTCCAGAACGCCTCGTTGGAGATCTCTCTTTTTCCATTGTTTGCTTCTTGGGTATAGTGACGTATTTCGGGTATAGTGACGTTACGTCCGCAGAGCCGTTACGTTTGGACCAATCCACGGACTTCCTCACACACAAACACACTCGGCGGGACGTTGCGAGGCTCGCTGCTGCGAGGAGCGGGACACTGAGCTGGCTCACTGGTGTGGGGTCTGCGAGACACAGCGGAACTCAGCCTGGGCACACACACACACACACACACACAAACTTCCAGCCAGGCTGCGGGTGTATGTGTGTGTTCGTGCTGGGTCTCGCTGTCTCGCTGTCTCGCAGACGGCCACTGGGCTCACAGGGAGGGGAGGGGGGGGGGGGGGGCAGGAACTCCAACAAGCCGTTTAGGACAGAGAGAGAACATTGCACAATATACATTTATTTTAGTGGACCTCAACAATGGAATTATGATCAGTAGAAATGGCCGTGACATGGGACCTTTAACATGAAAATGATTATACAATACAAAATGAATCCGTGTCACACAAATATTACTGATTCTAAATGATGTATAAATAAATAATACAACCATGGTGCAGTTGAAACACAGCTACATGATTTGTTTGAGACATTTCACTTGAATAGACATAAAAAGCTCGAAAAAAACGAAGAAATAACATTTATCTATTCTGGTTATTGCAATATATGATGTAACCACTAGGAGGCAGTGTGATCCCACAGAATCTGACAGAATCCCTCTGTTGTGATGTTTTAGAAACTGTGTCAAAGTGTGTCCCATCTCTTTCTGGGAATCTGAATTTGTCGTCACGTGGTTTTGACGACAGACACTCAGTGGCGCTGAAAGTGTCTCTTAGCCCATATGTAGGTTTTTATTTCAGTTATGGAACATATAACGTCTTGAGTAGAGCAGTTTGTCGTGGCTCATTCTTGTAAGATATTTAAAACTGTGCCAACTGTTGGGTTAGGGTTAACCGTCGGCGCTGATTTCTTTGCCTTCATTTGGCTGATTAATTTACTTCTTCCATAAAAATAGACAAAAAGAATCAGTGAGGTCAAAGACTATCGATTCAGTGCTGAAGACTATTCTCAGAATATGTAATTTAATACAAATTCCTAAATAGAAAGAATATATTAAGACCTAAATTAATTCAATAATCAACACAAAGAATGGCCTTCACACTCTTGTTGAAACCCAAACCTTTAAGGCATTATCGATAGTGGATTACATTTTGAAATATTTGATCAGGTCTAACTTCTAATGGATAAACGTCTGTCTGTCACTTACTATGTTAATGCAGCACCAATCAGAAGGTCGTTGGGTCCATCCAGTCAATATGTCGATTTATACTTGGACTAGATACCTAAACTCACATCAGTACTGTGGGCAAGTCTATGGTATCGAAGTGTATGCAATCTTTGGAGAAAACATGTAATCTGAAGCAACAGCAGAGGAAGCAGTTTCGAATGACATCACTGGTTCGGCTGACCTGATTATAATTAATTTACATAAGGAGGTACTTGTGGACTATGTAGGATAGTTATGATGAATGATGGTGTATTGTTATATCGTAATTGTGGTTATATTCATATTAAATATCAAAGATGACATCTGGAGAAATAGTTTTCAGCAGAAGTCATTTTTTGATTCATTTGGATTATTCCAATATGTTCTCCCATTCATTAAAACGTGTAAAAAATCAGAAATGAATCCACAGTTGGATCAGATTAAGTCCAAATACACTTTATTAAATGTTTCTCTTATATCTTCCATGTGTAGAATACAACTCTCTCCATCCTTGCTTCTCTTTGTCTGATTCTCAGCATGTTAGAAAAACACATCAGTGCTCTCAACACGATGATGTAATCAGTTGGCAGACTGCAGTTCACAGACTCACCTATAGATGGCAGTGTTGTACCTCAAAAAAAACCTTTAAACCCAGTCAACCCTACACACACACACACACACACACACACACAGTCTGGGTTCATAGAGTCACTGGATCACTGCTATTATTGGTTCATGTGTGTTTCTGTTGTGTTCCGGTCCTCTCTGTGCCACACACAGATTTGCAGATGAAAACAACAACAACAAAGTGAATATTGAATCGGGTCATATTGAATTAGTCCTGACGTCAGACCCTTCCCTTCCCAGGGGGCCGCAGTTAAACATCAGTCAATATGGCTGTCAATCAGCCAATCAACCGCTCAATAACGTTTCATTTTTTTAGAGTGCTTTCCCCCGTCACCTGTGAGCAAGCGACGTACAGTTGGAAGGTTTTAAAGCAGCGAACAAAATACACAGATGGTTGGATTTAAAGGGCGAGACAAGACTAAGTCGCCACTTAAGACTCGACTCCTCAGGGGGTTTTGGGAGAGTGAAATCCATTCTGAAAGTGTCGCTTGATGGTGTTGTCCAGCTGTCTTCTCTCCCTAAACTATAGACTTGTTTCTCCGCTCTCTCCTCTCTCTGCCTTATTGTTTTGACTGCTGAGGGAAAGAGAGAACAGAAATACGAGAGGGTTAAAGAGGCAGCGTGGAAGCAGAAAAAGAGAGAGAGAGAGTATACTACTCGCCTCTCATTGGTCGCTGAGAGCACGCCGTCTTTTTGCGTCGCTCGCTCCTGGCCAATCGGCAGCGGCGGAGATATTTTGGGTTTGTGAATGAAATGAACAGTGAGAGAGCAGGACAGGAGTAGTTTGATTCATCATTCGTTGCTCATAGTGTGCGGAGAAAACTCAAGAGATAGGTGCGCTTGTTTCGCTGTGAAGCACTCTGGATGGACACGGAGAGATAAACAGATAATCAGGACATGCAAATAAGAAACTGTCTGAAGAACTTTATAGAGATTTAACCAAACCAACTGCAAACCTGTAGATCAGAAAATAAGGCGTGAGATTTGTAAGACTTTTAGTTTGAAAAGTCATTTTATTACGGTTTCATTCGATTCTGCTTCTGTGTTAAGTGTAACAGCAGTTCTTGGTCTTCCTCCAGGAAAACATTGAGCAGTGCTGTCCTCTCTGTG